ATGGGAGTCCCGGAATAGATGAAAACAGACAGTCGTCCTGATTACATAGCTAAAACATTTATCTCTTTTTGTCAGGGTTGGGAAATTGACATCACTTGTGAGGTTCTCTATAAACCCCAAGTACAAGTCTTAATTGAACAAACTCATTACTCAAGAATCAAACACAAAAATAAAAAAGGCGGAAAAAGGGATTAAGTGCTCAGGAACAACTTTTCCAAAACAATTTATACTTCAAAGTTTTGAAACTGTTCTTCTATATTCCACCTCACCCCACTCCCAACACCTGAAGGAAAAAGCTGAAAGACCCTACAGACCCCCTCCTCAAAACCCGCAGCAGCCAGCCTGCTCTCGTAAGAACATCCCATGTGCTTGAGAGAGCAGGATGAGATAGGAAGACTGCAAGGCAGGATATCAATAAGATAGGACATCAACAAAGCAGGTTGACTGCAAAACAGGTTATCTATAAGATAGGAACAGGATGACTTTTGCTGACACCCATGCTGAGAGAGGAAACCATTCATGCCCCCGCCTCATTCTGATAACCATGCTTTTGCTTCTGTAAACTTGCTTTTTGCTCTTCCCTATAAAAAACCCGCCCTCCAGTCGGCAGGCGCCCAAGTCCTCCGAAAGACTTTGCTGCCCTGTCTACCCAATAAACCTCTTGCGATTTGCATCTGTGTGGTCTCGGCCTGTTCCTTGGCGTCGGGGAGGTCTCCTCCCGAGAGAAGGACCTCTTCGAGAGTCTTTCAAAGCCACAAGAAGCAAGAAGTTTTACCCCAACCTGTGGCTTTACATCAACTTCCTCAAGCGCCAATGGCTGGGTCCCAGTCCCTCATTATTGGGGCCAAGGATCCAGTTCTGTGCTTTCTTCTACTGACTTCTCTGGATCCCAGTGTTACTCATAAAGCTATACCATGAGCTGGCCCCAGAAGGCACAACTGAGCAACAGCAGAGGGACCCAGACCCTCTCCCAAACCTCAATCACACGTTGAAAACTCCATTGCCTGGGATGTGCTTATGCAAGAGATGGGAATATTCCCAATAATTTCAATCTCCAACCCACCAACTGGTATGGAGAGGCATTACAAAGCTGATCAGCGCAGCTGAATGTGTCCTTGAGAACAGTGCATCTGAAACCCCCCCCAAACACTCTTCTTGCTATGATCGCTACAATCTCTCAATTCCACAATACTCTCATCACTTCCTGTTTATTCCTGCTTTAGCTCCACATATATACTGGGCCCTGTTGCTAAAATCCCTTCCCAGTGGGAGATACAAATAAAGTCTACTCCTTCCAAAGTCCCAACAACTAACTAAGGCTCGATTCCATCAAATTTCACTCTGGGGAGCTGCGGTGGTTTGAATGGGAAGGGCTCATATATTTGAATCCTTGGTCCTCAGTCAGTGAAACTGTTTGGGAAAGATTAGGAGGTGTGGCCTTGTTAGAGGAAGTGTGTCCCTGGGGTGCAGACTTTTGAGGTTTTAAAAGATTCAGGCTATTTTCACTGGGCCACTTTTTCTCTCTGCCTCCTATCCGTGCTTCAAGATGTAGGCGCTCAGCTGCTCCAGGCATCATGCCTTTGCTCCTCTATCATGGACTGCAACCCTCTGAAGTAGTGTGCCCCAGATAGACTCTTTTTTCTATCAGTTGACTTGGTCTTAGTGTATTATCACAGCAATAGATCTGTAAATGAAAAGCCTTACCCAGCAGGGATAAGGGCTTTCTCATAGCCACAAAGATAAAGCCTTAGCCTCTGTATTCTCTATCCCCTCCCCCAGACCATGTGCTGAGTTGCCAGTTGGTAGGGAACAGTTGGATATGGGGGAGGGTAAACTGTCAAAAAGCCAAGCTTGGGTGATCTTTTGCAAGGGGACACAGCTCAATGTCTCCAAATGACAGTAGCTCAGTTCAGAGGACAGTTACATGTGACAGGCCTTTATACTTCAATCCTCTCAACTTAGACCAGCATTGTGGTCTGAACCTGAAACTCCACTAAGCACCAATGGTTACCCAGTGGCCACTTGAGATATTTTCTTCACATGGGCTCCTTATCCACTTACAAGATTACACATATTTCTCTAAACAAATTCCATGGATCCCCTTGGAAAATACATGAAATCTTTCCTCTACAGATGTCCCTACCTACCATATCAAGTCCATTTTGTGCTTATGTGCAACCATGATGGTATATGAATATCCTATATCAAAATGACTCCCAAGACCAGAGGACAGATATATCCTACTATTTAGTCAAGCAATTAGGTTCCTTGACTACACAAACCCTGTAAAAAAAAAAAAAAAAAAAAAAAAACAAAAACAAAAAAAAAAAACAGGCCACCTTTCCCTATATGCCTTTACCCAATTCTAGAAGGGCATTCCTACCCTAGTCTTAATTTGGATGTCTGTATTCACCTAACTATGATGAAGAAATATTATCTAGTAAAGAAGTGTTAGGGTCAGATAGTGGTGATGCAAACCTTTAATCCCAGCACTTGGGTGGCAAAAGCTGGTGGATCTCTGTGAGTTCAAGGCCAGCCTGGTCTACAGAGTGAGTTCCAGGACAGTCAGAGAAAATAGTAAATGATCTTTCAAAAATTAGATGCCCTTGAAACTGATCTCTTGCGGCTTAGAGAACATCAAGTAGTCCTTTGGCTCCTTCAGCAATTTCAATGTGACACAGGTTTTCACTGTATGTGTGCCGCTCCCTTCCTTCCCTATTAACTATATTCAGAGATTGAATAATGTCTAACAGCTTGAAATGGAGTCTTAGTTAGGGTTTTATTGCTGTGAAGAGACACCGTGACCACAGCAATTCGTAGAAAGGAAAACATTTTATTGGGGCTGGCTTACAGTTTCAGAGCTTTAGTCCATTATCATCATTGCAGAAAGCATAGCAGCATGCAGGCAGACATGGTGTTGAAAAAGGACCCGAGAGTTCTACATTTTGAACCACAGGCAGCAGAAGGAGACTGTGTACCATATGAGACCTCAAAGCCCACTCACACAGTGACACACTTCCTTCAACAAGGCCACACCTAATCCAACAAGGCCATACTTTCTAATAGTGCCATTCTCTATAGGTCAAGCATTCAAGCACATGAGTCTATGGGGGCCATTCTTATTCAAACCACTATAAATGGTGTTTAGTTCTCCTTTAGAACAAGACATTTCCACCTTAAACACCTTTCCTTCTAAACTAAAAAACAAGCACAATTGCAAAATGTGTCTTTAACCAGAAACAGCTAACTGGCTCGTCCCTTCTGATTGGTTTGCATGATTAAATGTTAAGATTGTTCTTTTAGCCTGGTGTGGTGGTGCATGCCAATGAAGATGGTCACTGATGAAGAGTTGGACAAGTTATAGCGTACTGTAGGGCAGCATTACTTCATTCCAGGTGATCATTCTGAAAAATTGAACAAGGCATGATAGAGCATTGAGGAGTGGAGGCAGGCCTGGCATATGAAAGCACAAAGCCTACTTCCAGTGACACACCTCCTTCAACAAGGCCACACTTCCTAACACTACCTAACAGTCCACCAACTTGGGAGCAAGCATTCAAATGTATGAAGCTATGGGGACCATTCTCTTTCAGTCCATTGCACACATACAAAGAAACCTTTAAATAAAGCCTTCAGTATTATAGTGACTTCGAAAAGAAGAAAGGAGTGGTGGGTATATAGCTTGGAGGGGAAAGTTGGGATAATGTTATCTCCAACCAATTCTGGAGATTTTTTAAAGCTATGGGAGGTTATAATTAAGAAGTAAAATGAGGAGGAGCTAAAGATGAGAGAAAGAAAAGATGTAAGAGTAAGAGGGGACCTAAGTAGGGTATAGTTGAAGAGTATAGCTAAGAATGCCTTAGTGGGTGGAGAAATAAATAATGGTTCTAAAACCTAACTGAGCAACATGCAAACAGAAGGAAAACCATCACGAGACATATGCACAAGAGTAGAAAATAAATAATAGAAAGTAAACAATAATGTCGGGTTCCAGCACTCAGGAGGCAGAAGCAGGTGGATCTCTGAGTTCAAGGCCAGCCTGATCTATAAAGTGAGTTCCAGGACAGCTAAAGCTACACAAAGCAATACTGTCTCAAAAAAAAAAACCCAAAATGTAAGCAATAAAAAATGCTTCTTAATGAATCGTAATACACTTGTGATGAGTTGAAAGGACACCTGATGGTCTAATAAAAAGCTGAATGGCCAATAGCGAGGCAGGAACAAGGATAGGCAGAGTTGGCAGCAGAGAGAATAAATAGAAGGAGAGATCTGGGGGGAGAGAGAAAGAGGAGCAAGAAAACAATGAGAGGAGGACATCAGGGAGCAGCTACACAGCTGCACAGCAAGTCATGGAGAAAGAAGCAAAGAAAGGTATACAGAAATAAAGATAACAGCCCAGAGGCAAAAAAGAAGTCAGGATAATTTAAGATAAGAAAAGCTGTAAAGAAACAAGTTAGCTAAGTAATAATAAGTCTCTATGTGATTTATTTGGGAGCTGGTGGTGGGCCCCTTAAAGAGTCAAGAGTAAAATGTCACACAATACACAGTCACTGCACCTGTGACATAATCCCCCAGTTTGATTACTCACTGTAAGCACACCTGATGAATCATAGGCTCATGTTTCCTGCATGTGTAGATGACATGTTCAACGTGGCCTGCTTTAACTTTCCTAGTGCGGTAAGGACCAGCCGTCACACCAACCATTCATCTGCAAGTGGAAGACCGCGAATCTCTGGAAAGTCAGAGGAGCTTTCAAAGTCAGCTGACCCCAGGAGAGCCAGGGAGCAGGGGACGGCTGGGGACAGTGGCAAACAGGGGTTCCAAGGCTGCTCGCGTTGTGCAGCTTGGTCTGATTTATGGCAACAGGGACTCCATCACGCTAAGAACACAGGCTGCCCTTCTTGCTGTCATTGTGTAACCAGGGTGACAGGAACACGACAGGAATGATTCCCGTGGTCACATGGTGGTCACAACATCCAAGGGCACAGGGACACAGGTGGTCACAACATCCAAGGCACATGGACACAGGTGGTCACAACATCGAAGGGCACAGGCACACAGGTGGTCACAACACCCAAGGGCACAGGCACACAGGTGGTCACAACATCCAAGGGCACATGGACACAGGTGGTCACAACACCCAAGGGCACATGGACACAGGTGGTCACAACATCCAAGGGCACAGGCACACAGGTGGTCACAACATCCAAGAGCACATGGACACAGGTGGTCACAACATCCAAGGGCACATGGACACAGGTGGTCACAACATCCAAGGGCACAGGGAAACAGGTGGTCACAACATCCAAGGGCACAGGGACACAGGTGGTCACAACATCCAAGGGCACAGGGACACAGGTGGTCACAACATCCAAGGGTACAGGGACACAGGTGGTCACAACATCCAAGGCACATGGACACAGGGGGTCAACATGAGTTCTTGCTTCACCTTTGGAGGAAATGGATGATGTGGAAACGTGGACCCTATGGCTGTCACCTCACAGCCACGAATGCAGAACACTGGACGTCTGCACATCTGACTGTGGCAGCTGGGATGGAGGGGGGGTCCCTGGCTGCTCTGGGTTGTTACATGGGCCTTGAGAAGGGGACCATCTATTTGCCACCAAAGTTCCAGGCCATGTTTGTAAAGGAACTCAAGGGAGTCCTGGTTCCCAGTCCTGGTGGGAGGTTGTAGGGGCCCCCGAGTGCCAGAGCATCAAGGGCAGAGACACAGCTCAGCCACCCTGTAGGTTCTCCCTGAGCTGAATCAATAGCAGAAGGACAGGGCCTGGGTGCTCTCCAGGGTACCCCTCTTCTAGGTGGGGGCAGACTGAGAAAGGGTGGGGAAAGGAAGGAAGGGAAGCATCCTACTTCCTCCTTCCCTATGGGGCCCAGATTTACTCTTCAGACCTGAGCCTGGGAACCTGTGCTTGCTCCCCTAGAGGCAGCAGGGTCAGCCGACCACAGCAACAGTATTGGGCAGCAGTAGGTCTGAATGAAGATGAGAGAGGCTGTGTGCTCAGCGGGCAGGGCAGGGCTGGCCAAGTCATTCTCACAGAGCTGTTGGTGTCCTGCCATGGCTTCAGCATGCAGCTGTTCTGATGACAATGGCCCCGAGCCTGCACGAACAGTGCCTGGTGCTGGAATTCACCACAGCCAGGACTGGCTTCCACGTGCAAGCTGCCAGAGCCCAGCTGCGAGTCTGTCAGACTGCACTCAGCTCTCACCCTTGCCAGAAGTAGCCACAAGACTCGGGATGAGAGCCCCAGCCTGAGGAATGAGGCCTCTTCTCAGAGAGGGGCTCTGACCAGGGCGGTCCCCACTGTCCCTTCAGGCTCTCAGGTCACTGTCCTCCCACGTGGATGATGTGCTGTCTCCCTGACCTCATCCTGTGTGCCTGGTACCCATGAGAACTCTTGCTTTATAGATGAGGCACCAATTGTTATTGTAGGAAGACAGTTGTAATCATTCTTGCCCCGAGACAAGACATTTACCCTTTTCTTAAAACCAAATTCATGTTTTAAAAAACAATTTTTGTGTGTATTTGTGTGGTCATACTTGTGGGAGCCAGAGACAGTGTTTTTCTCTCTTGCTCTCCACCTCAGTTTTTGAGCCAGAGTCTCTCCTTGAGCTCAGAGCTCACCAACGGGCTAGACTGGCTGGCAGTAAGCTCTGGAGACAGGCCTTTTCTCCCGGTCCTGCCTCAGGTCTAGAGTGACAGGTGTGAGCTTAAGCTTCTAAGAGGATCCAGATTCAGGTCCCTATGCTTGTAAGGTGACAACTTTACCGACTCGACAGTTTCCCCTGACCAAGGCTGTTGAGAGGTGTTCATCTCAGAGAAGGACCAAGAGCCTACCCCAGCAATTCCAACCGTTCAACAGCCCTCACCTTTGGGCAGTGAGTTTGCTGATTTCCAGTGTCCCCTACTCTGTACTCACCACGTCTTAGGGCTTGACGGAGCATGCTAGTGAAGACCAGCTGTGCCTTGTGTGCATTTGCTCCCCTGCCCCAGCTGCTACCGCTTTTCAAGTCAGGCCTTTCTTCCTCCAAGGTAATCACATGCCATCCACAGATTCACGAGCACACACAAGAGGACCAGGAGACAGACTCCTGAGATTTATCTTCATTCTGTGTGAAATGAGCAGCGTCTTGTGAACCTGCATCTGCCTGACCTCGCTGAACTATGGAATTACTTCTGAGCTCCAAACCTTGCTTAGTGCTAGGGCCTGGCTCAAGGAACAAAAACCTCCCAACTGTGATGGTAACTTCAGAGCATAGGGCTCACGTAGAGGCCCTGGGGTCTCAAGGGGCAGTCTGGAAGGCAGACCTGGGATGTAGAAGCATCCTATCCAGGAAAACTTGTGCTGTGCAGGAGGTCCAAAGCTCATGTGGCTGCCATCCTTGCATGTGTGGATGAATTATCTTAGCAACCAATGAGAACAGAAGGGCAGTTGGCTGCTCAGGATGAGAGGATGTGCTGGCTCTGGTCTCTGACCCTTCCTTAAGCAGCTAGCGTGCAGTTCCTCCAGGCTGGCTCAGAGGAGCCACTATAGACTCATGCCACCATCTTGAGTTCTAGAGATGAGCAGGTGATGTTCCCTTTCCCCTCCAACCCTTTTCCCGACAGTGAGTTCCTGCAGCTCTGCTCTACTCCACTGCCCACCAGGGTGTGGTCTTGGTTTCCACCCCTCTACTGCAATGGATCGGGGATAAAGCAGAAGACATGGAAACTGAATTCCCAAGGTAAAGGCTACTCAGAAGGCCAAGGATAATGTGCAAATTCTGGACAAGTCATTCCTGAGTGTGATGCCTCCGCAAGGAGAGAATGATCCACAAAAGATGGAGCCTGGTGGCAGGGGTGCTGGAAAGATGGTTCAGTGGTTAAGAGCACTGGCTGCTCTTCCAAAGGACCTGTGTTCAATTCCTAGCACCCACATGGGAGCTTACAACTGTCTGTAATTTCAGTTTTAGGGGATCCAGTGTCTTCTTCTGACCTCCACATACTTGCAGGCCAAACACCAATGCACATAAAAAAAAAAGGATGGAGCCCAGAAAAGGGGTAAGATGAGCCCAAATGCTACCCTAATGTCTGCTGAAATGATCCATAAGAGAGGACCCCCTTAGTCCAAGGAAAGGGCTCAGAGTTCCTGCGGAATGAAGGGAGGAGAAGGCAAAAACCATGGGTTCTATGGTTGTCCCAGAGGAGGACGGTAGTCAAGGAAGGGACAGGGCCATAGGGAAGAGAGGAAACGCTGACTGGGCAGAACCCAAACCCAGTGCACAGGGATAAACTGGAGTGCAAGGCACCTGCTCAGAAGCAGAAGTGCTTAGCCCAGGTTACCCCTAGGGCTACTGTTCTTAAAGGGCTGGGGAAAGAAGAGCTCCCCATACTTTCTGAACCCCATCTCTAACAAAAAGAGAAAGAGCAGACAGACCACAGGACACAACTTTAATGTGCAATATCTGTCACCAGGGGCAGACAGGGGACAAAAGGAGGGGCATAAAAGGTGGCTTTGGCTGTAGAACAGGTAAAAGGAAGAAGTAGGGCCACATCACAGCCCCGGGGATCCATGAGTTGTAGTCTGAGCTCTCCTACAGGGAAGCTGGGCTCAGCCTGTCAGGCAGAGCCAAGTCAGGCCCACCCTGGCCGCCTTAACAGTCAGGAGTGGGGGAAGGGCTGTGGAGAGCAGACCGTTGACTTCAAAGGGCCTGGAACCTTTTGTTGAGCCCTCAGGACGGCTGGAACAGAGAGGTACGAATGGGTACTCCAGACAAAGACACGCAGGACTCAACTACACAGATTGCCCCGCTTCCCCCTTCTATCCACAGGGATTCCCCAACTGGCAATCTGCAAAAGTCCCCCGGACTGACTCCTCCACCGCTCTCTGAGCACCATGTGGAGGGAAATGCCCTCTGCAGGAGAATGGTGTGGGTGGGCACTCGGCAGACCACTGTGAGGGAGCAGTCTTATCTGCTTGGTGTTACACCCTGCCCCCAATACAGTAGTAGGAGCCAGCTAGCCTTTCCTGGGTATCTGTGCCGATGTATCTAGCTCCCTCTGCCCCTGCCCTCACCCATCCATGCCCAGGGCCAGTCATACCGAGTTGTTTTCTCAGCCTGTATGCTTCTTTCTCTAGCAAAGGACACTAGCCCAGCAGACAGAGGGGAAAAAAAATTATCGTTCAGTATCCTGGTCTCCTCCCCACTCCATTCCCAGTCCTCCCAGTCCTACATCCCACCCCACAGTACTCAACAAGACTGGTACTCAATCCTGAGCAGAGAGGAGGTGCCCTCTCTCTGTGGAGTGTGGGACCAGGCGAGCCGGCCAGGTTAACTTGGCTACCACCATCTAGCAGGGCTGTCATTTCTTGCAGATAAGAAAAATTTACCTGTTGACACCCCAATGTCCCTGGTACTTGATTCTGCTTCTCCCCAGTATGGAGTGGGTAGACCACAGATGGTTCTTGGTCACCTGAAAGAGAACAGAGTGCAGCATCCAGGCTTGGGGTCCAGGTGGGAAGGGCCTGGTGAGGTCTAAAATGAGGCAACATCGCCCTCTGCTGGCAGCAACTTGTACCTCCTGGTTTCTCAGCTTCTGGGCCTGTCTTCCCTGATGCACAGAGACAGACCCCTAGGACTTTAGCCCTGGGCAGGTTCTGGTCAGGCCGTAGCCACAACCAGGACCTGGTAAGAGGCCAGCAAATAGGGCTCACCAGAAAAAAACTCTAGAGTTCTGAGCCAGCTTCTAGAGTTGGAGTTGTCCTACCCTTTAAAGCCACGAACACCACAATCCCACTCATCTGACAACATGGCCCACCCATAACCAGTCTTGTGGGCTGTCTGCCTAGATAGGGAAGCCCAGAAAGAAGACTGCAATCCCTCAGTGATAGAGACTAAAGCGTCCCTCCTCTGTTCCACTGCTCTCAAAGCCCAAAGACTCACCAGTGGGCGCAGGTGTTCTGGCGCTGGTGCCTCTCCGCTTCAGGGCTACGAGCTGGGAATTTGCTGAAACTTGGGGTGCTCGGAGGTTGGTGTCTCCACTGCTCATTTCTCCACGATGCATGCACGTGAAAGGTCGCACTGCCCTGCGTGTTGGAAGCTGACACAAAAATTTCTCAGTGAGTACATGTCGTGGAGGGGCTGAGGGGCAAGTGGGAGAAAAAAAATGGAGGCTTGTGAGGCTCATCCCATCTGCACCTACTCTTCCTCCTTCAGCCTCAGGGCAAGAGGCAGGAATGGAGTCCCCAAGCACTGAAAAGGCTCAGATCCTGGCCTGGCTTCCTTGGGGAAGAGCCAGGAGGGAGGATCAGGAGGCCCTTGGGTCTGACTACAGCCAAGCTGTGCAGCCCACACTGGAAAGGCTCTCTGGATCCAAATCACCCAGACTGTAGCCAGGCCTGCTTCCCACCCTGCCTGGCTAGAGAGAGGAGATGCACAGGGAGGGAACAGTCGCCAACACCTAACTGAGGCTCCCTCATATCCACCCTTCCTTATGACCAGGACCCCACACCGGACATCCTAATCAGGGCGAGTGCCCACTGACCACCCCCAGGCCAAGGTAGTGGCAGACGGAACAGGGCAGCGGTCTGTGCTGGGGAGGGAAAGGGCGGGGTGAGAGGGGACAGAGGGTGCTCTACTCACTCGGGCACGGGGATTTTCCTTGATCTTGCAGGACTCTGGTGTTGGAGTCATGGCTGCCAAATTCTTCACGGTATCTTGACACACAAGGCCTCTGTCTGCCCTGGCTGCTGGCAGGGCCTCCCTTGTATTCTTTGCTGTTGCTTTCTTTCTGGATGGCCCATGTGCAGGCTCGCTGGCTTCTAGAGGTGTTGCGCAGTGCTTTTTAGGATTCTCAAGTGTGGAGACGCAGGTTATTGGAGGGAAGGTGGCTGTTTCCCCAGGAGCTGCCTTTGATCTCTGTCCACACTGTGGGACAGGTCTTCGCCCGGTGAATCTTGGGGCATCCTGGAGGGCTTTCTTCTCCTGGACTGACCTTTTCTTAGAACTGGCCTTCACTAGCCCACCCGCAGCAGCTCCTGGGAAACGGGGCTTGCTTGGTTCCTTGCCTCTGGACGCAGCTGCTTTTCTGTTAGAACAAGAGGCTCCCAGCTTTCCCATGCCCAATGCATGGCTCCTGGGAGCACCCACCTGCAGAGAGCCAGTCATATGATGAAAATTGCCCCTGGGTTGAACATCCTCTATTTTGATTTTCTCTCCCGGATCCATAGCATTACTGGATATGATCTGCCCTCCGTTCTTGAAGCAAATGCTCACCCTAATCACTTGCACCTCATTCTCTTCATCCGAGGTTGAGTCAGGGTCGGGAGATGGCTCTGGGATGTCCTCAGGGACTGGTTTCCTACTCTTTATGGTTTTCTTTTTCTTTTTTGTCCTGTGTGCCCTGCCTCCTTTGGCCCCCCTGTGGTGGACAGGGGCCCCAGAGGCCCGCTTCACGTCTACCAATCTCTTGCCCAGCCTGCCCTTCCTGCTGCGGTCGGCCTCTGCACCTGCCCAAGGGGTAGACTGTTGGGCGGTACAGCTTTTTGAGGAGGAGCAGCTTCTAACACTTTGGCGTATCTGGTCGGTTGGCTGCTGCACCATTTCCTCAACCCCATCGTCGTCGTCGTCGTCGACAAGAGGCAAGCAAGCCATCAAGTCTTCTTTGTCGCTGTCTGAGGAGACAGACTGCTCGCTGTGATCCTGCACCGGTAGCTTGGACCCTGACTCAAGGTCTGAGTTGCCCTCAGTCTCGACGTCATCCTCACTTATGCTACTCTGTGAAGATCCCACAACACGGCTCAGGTCGAGACCCTGCAGTGAGCTTGGGCCCTCCAGGCAGACTTCAGTGGCCTCCCCATCCTCGGAGTCCACGCCTACTTCTTCAACGGCCATCTGTTCATTGGAGCTCATGATTCTAGTGGTAAGTCTACGTGGCCTGGCTTGTGAGGACAAGGGTATCCCTAGTCTTCACAAGACCAGCTAGGCCCTCGGAGACACCGTCACCATAGACACACTAGCGCTAAACACAAACAAGGATACCCTTCTACTGACGTCATGCCTTCATTCTGGCCTTCTCATTGGCCTACCCTCCACCAACCAGATCAACCCTTGTTAGACCATGGTTGAGGCCCTAGCCAATAAGAATGAGGATGCTTGGTTGTTTGGAATTCTTAGCCTGGCTGGACCAAGTCTATGGATGGGGTATGGGGATGGGAGGGGGTTGGAGTATAGGAGGTGTGGGGGCATAGGGTGGGTGGGAGGTGTGTGTATGTGCAGGTGGTGGAGTCTTGAGTATGTAGTGCAGTCAGCCTTGTCTCTCTTTTTCTCACCTCCTCTGGCCAGACACGTATCATGGAAGGAGACCTGCACCCTCTGTGGCTCTTTCCTCCTGTAAAGTGGAGAAAGTAGCCACACATGGGCCAGAGGCTTGTGAGGATCCAGTGTTGGGATGGCTGTGAAGCACTCAACATAGAAAAGATCGGGAAGCCCCTGTTCCACAGCCAGGCCAACTGTTCAACGGGACAGTGGGCAAGGAAGCCCATAGTAGCTATCAGTGCTCCACAGAAGGGTCAGCTAGATAAAAGATGGTCTTCGAGCCACAAGCTGTGGCGACAGCAACTATGGTTACAAGCGGCCATGCACCAATGACGTTGTGTTGGCAGGCTGCAATTTTTCCCACTTCTTCCAAACCCCATCCCGTTCTCAGACCCCATCCCATCCCATCCTCATCCTGAGGTAAAGCAAAGAGGAGGACTCTCCTAGGGTGAGGACAAAGGCATTCCGTGTCACTGACCCTGGCTGATTCTGAAGCTGCAGACCGAAATTAATGCTCATATAGCAGGTTTGCAAACACGACAATACCTTTAACCCAACAAGGGTGAGTGGGGTTCAGACTGGTAGTCTTCCCTATGCTGAGGTGGAGGGTGCAGTTTGTAGAGGGCAGCCCCTTGAGCGGGTAACTTGGTAGAACAGAAATCACTATGTGCCTGGCCATTTTCTAAGCACTCAAATAAATCCTTCCATCCCTTTTGAGATATCTCCTAAGTTTGCCCTTCTAGAGGGAAGAACCCACTACCGTGAGGGCAAGGACACATTCATGAGGATGGCGATGAGGGAAATCCTTTGGGGAACTCTCTGGATTTCCACGGGTAAGGGAGTGCATGAATGCAGACTTGGCCCATGCACCCAGTAAATGCAAGGGAGGCAGCCCACAGCTCTAGGCCATGTCCAACATGTTTCATAAGGCAGGCATGATTGAAGAGCACTAGGTCCTAGAAGAGTTCATGGATTTGGATGCATATTTGTGAATTAAAAATCCAAACCAGGCAGCTGGGCGGTGGCGGCAGACGCCTTTAATCCCAGCACTCAGGAGGCAGAGGCAAGTGTATTTCTGTGAGTTCGAGGCCAGCCTGGTCTACAAGAACTAGTTCTAGGACAGGCACCAAAGCTACACAGAGAAACCCTGTCTTGAAAAACCAAACAAAAAATCGAAAGCAGGCGTAAGTGTTATTTGAGAGTACATATAAGCATGTAGAAGGGTATACTTTAAAGGTCCAGAATGGAAACCCAAGAAGGCCTTGCAGGGGCGATGAGGCACCAATGTTGTCGTAATTTGCCCAAGAATGTCTGAACCCAGTTTTCTCCAGCTGAAATTTGGGGAGTTCCTTCCTTGGTTTCTAGAATGTTCTAGAGTGCTAGCATTTCCTTTGCATTCCATTAAATTATTCCAGTTTTCAGAGTGCTCCCACGGGGAAAAGAGCCAAGTTCCTGCAATTCTCTCTAATCTTAAGCATTTGTCAATCTACCAATCCATAGAGCTTGCTTCAGAAGCATTTTGTTAAAAGCATTCTTTGCTCATTCTACACTGTTGGCTTATGCCAATGACTTTATGGGAAACAGACTTCTAACTCTTGTCTGAGCATAGCTTATCTCACACGCTTGTGTCTGTGTAAGGCACCTCCAGCTGTCTTGTGTGGAAGAAATCCAGACTTCAACACTTGGGGCCATGTTTAAGGGGAAATCACCAGGAAAACACAAAAATGTGAGGTATGTGGTGCTAAGGAAAAGATATTTGATCACAGCTTAAAAGGGAAGAGGGTCCACATTTTTGACCCCAGTAACACACTTGGCCTCTGAGTGACTTTAATTTTTAATCCCATTTGCACATGGTCACTAACAGCCCTAAAAGTGCACCTGTATTGACGCTGGGATTGAAACAAGGTGTAGTGAATCGTTGAATTAGCAACCATGGAATTAGTGTATTGTCATACTGATTTAATCTCAGTCTGTATGCCATTCCATGCCTTTGGTTTGTTTTTAAATATTTATATTTTATTTTATGTGTATGCATGAGTGCCTGCCTGTATGCTGTACACTATGTGTGTCTGGTACCTAAGAAGGCCAGAAGAGGTTGATAGATCCCCTGGAACTGGATCAGGAGATGCCTGACGTGGGTGCTGGTAAGAAAGAAAGAAAAGCAAGAAAGAAATTTGCATCCTCTGGAAGAGCAGCAAGTGCTCTTAGCTGCTGAGCCATCTCTCCAGCCTCCCTACTCTCATTAAAAAAAAAAAAAAAAGATGGGCTCTGTGCTACTGAGTAGCCCGGCGAAGTCTCCAGCTCATGATCCTCCTGCTATCCTCAAATTCTCGATCATTCTGTCCTTGCCTCCTGAGTGCTGGGATAGGGTTGGGATTGCAGGCATAAGTCATAGCTCCCAGTACTCTCTTGGTTTTATTTTTAGCTTTGTTTTTTTTCCCCTGTCTTACTGTGTAGACTAGGCTGGCTTCAAACTCTCAGTGATCCACCTTCTGCTGCCCTCCAAGTGCTGGGATAAAAGGCGTGCATCACCATGCCTGGGTTTTATGAGAATTTTATACTTTAGAACTGAATTCATATCATACCACCACCCTTCCCTCTCTTCTTCTAGTTCCTTCTGTGTTCCTTCACTCCCTCTGAAACTCATGACTTCTTTTTGAATTATTACTGTTACATAATACTGGATTCATTGCTTTTATGCATGTGTTTGGGGCTGACGATTTAGGGTTGGAGTCTTTTTCAGACTCTCTTTTAAAAAAAATTATTTTATTTATTATATAGTGTTCTGTCTACATGTTTGCCTGAATGCCAGAAGAGGGCACCAGATCTCATGATAGATGGTTGTGAACCACCCTGCGTTTACTGGGAGTTTAAATCATGACCTCTGGAAGAGCGGTCAATGCTTTTAACCTCTGAGCCATCTCTCCAGCCCCCAGACTCTCTCTTTTTAATTGCTCCTTCATATCCCATATTGTTTGCCTTAATTCATTCAGCTACTTATTCATATCCTTTTGAATTCACTGAGGATTTTAGGTCAATCTTTGAATCCTTTGTCCACTATTTCATCCACTTGGGTATCTTTGGATTCAGTTACTGGAGTCATAAACCTTTGAAGGAGTCATATTGGCTGTGCTTCTGCATTGGGATCTGTGTGTGTGATGGAGTGGAGGTTTCCTCCATGTTCATCTTCCTAATGAGCAGCTTTCTTTTGGGGGCTTGATCTTGAAGACTGCCCAGAAAGGAGAAACAATGACAACAACAAGGAGCGCACAGAAACCAGAAATCCAACCATGATGGCGTATGTCTGCACTCCTACCACTGGGGAAACTGAGGCAGGAGATGACACGTTTTGGGAGAGTGTGGGCTACTCAGCAAGACCGTATTTAAAAAAAAAAAAATAAGGGCCAAGGATGTAGTTTGGTGGAGAAACAATTTGTTTAGCAGTCACAAGCCTTGGGTTTGGTCTTCAGTATTACAAAACAAAAATAATAAAATAAAATCCCCACTAAAACTCAGTTAAAAACAAGTGCATCACCAATAACAATAGAAAAAAAGGGGAAAATAATACAGGTCAAACTTAGAGGCTAAAAACTAATGAGGGTAAATGAATAATAAAAACTAGAAAAGGGAGCAGGGAAACGGAAAAAGGAAGTCAGGTTTTTAAAAAAATGAAAAAAAATGTGGAAGAGAGAAGTGAAAAAATCCAATTAAAGAATAAAATAAGTAAACAAAATTAGATAGAGAAAATGGGGAGAAAGAACAAAAATAAAAAAAGAATACTAAGTCTAAAGTTTGCCCTTGCTGAGGCACTCAGATTAGAAAAATCTCTCTCCAGGGCTTCTGGTGGAAATCCCCAGAAAGGTGCCCCAGGGTGGGGGAGGGCAGTGGATCACAGCTGAAGCCTGTTGTAATCAGTCTCTGTGTCTGTTAAATAGGCTGGTGCTGCACTAGTCTGAGCCCTGCTTCACTTTTCCCACTAGTTAAGTGTGACTTGTCTGTGGCAGCAGTAGATTCGGACTAGAAGCTATGCACGCATGCTCAAATCTAGAGGCCACTGGGGAGTCTCAAATTTCATCCCTCGGATGCCATTGCCATATAAATTTTTTGAGATAAGGTTTGTCATTGGTCTACCACTTGTCAGCTAAGCTAGGCTAGCTGAGCAGTGAGGCCCAAGGATCCTTCTGTTTCTACCTCCTCCGTGCTGGAATTACATGCATGTAATATGCAATGTAACATGTAATTCCATATAGGACACCATACTTAGCCTTTTTTTAAAGACAGGTCTCAATGTGTAACCCTGGCTGTCCTGGAACTCATTCTGTAGACCAGGACAGTCTTGGACTCACAGAGATCCATCTGCCTCTGCCTTACAAGTGCTAGGATTATATAGGCATGAACCATGCCTGGCTTTGTTTGATTGTTTTTTTGCCATGGACTCTGTGGATCAAACTCAGCTGGAAGGGAAGCACTTTACCAATTGGACTATCTCTGCAGAAATATTTATATGTGTATCTAGAGCCACAAATGGCCCTGACAAATTCAGTTAGTGTGCCATAGGTGGGATGGACACTCCAAAGCTCCAAAAAGCTCGGTTT